TCACTGGGTCGAAAATCCCGCTAAAATTTCGATCGATGGAATTCCATTTATTGTTTAAACAATTGCTCGTCACTCTCGCCCGCGGGAAAGCGAGGATTGGATAACTGGATCACCGATGTTAACGAGCGTTTTAGCATTCCGATTTGCGCGATTGCTGAATTAAACGGATGTTTCGTGTCGCAGGTTTCGTTGATAAGTTCGAATTATAAATAAATAAAATTGTTCGACGAAAACATCGGAAAGCTATTAGAACAGTAAAAAGTAATAATAGAAAAGAGAAATGATAAGATTTTAGTATAGAGAAACATGAACGACATGTTGACTGTCATGAAAAGCAGCAGAGTTTCGTGTATCACTGACTTGTCTCGTGCAAACATAAAGAGAGACAATTCTTACGTTATAATATGATCTAGTTATCTACGCTACATTTTTATTCGATACTGATTATTTTATAAGTTACAATCGTTACCTTGTAATTTGAAACCTCCGGTCATCGATGACCACAGTGACAGTCAACGAGTTAATGAGCGAAAATAGAAAGATCGTTTAAGTTTCGACGCGAAAGATCGTGGTAAAAATATGAAAATTAAATACTTCGTCTAATTAAACCTAGAGAAATTTGTAATTGAATCGTTGAATCTCTAAGCAGAGTGTGTTTTGATTGCAGGTGAAGATATGGTTTCAAAATCACCGATACAAGTGCAAGAGGCAGGCGAAGGAGAAGGCAATGGCGGAACAGAACGCTCAGAATCAGGTAACTATCAAGAACAAACGGAAAATCGAGTAGAAAACGAGTAAAAAAAAGGAAAACAAAAAAAGACGATCAACGATATTCGGTAACAACGCGAACGGCACGAGAAGTTTCAATTAAATTCTGTCGTTCATCCCCCGATCTTCTTCTCTCTTTCTCTCTTTCACGATAATATACGCGAGCCCGATAGATCGGATTTTTCCGGGGGATTTCGAAAAGGCACGAGACACGCACGACAAAATATCGAGCGTTTCGAAATGAAATGCTTTTAAATGAAAAATGTTCCGAGGCTCGTGATAGGGGATGGCGCGAGGGGGATGAACGGATGCACGCGCGCGCGCGCGGGCGCACGGATCGTTGCATCCACATCGTATTTCGTTTCGAGTGGGCCACTCAACCGGCTCGAAGCGATTCTGCATTCATTTCGTTATTCCATCCAAAATTTTTCCGGTGATAACGGTGCATGGACAACTGGTCTCTGCGCCCGCGTTAAACACGTAATTACCTGACGAGCTGCTTCTGTATCGCTTCCTATTTTCTCTTCTTCTTATTTTTCTCCTGTGCATTTTGTTATTTCATCTTGCCCTTTCCTCCTGTTCCTTGTATCCATGGAATTTTGTTTGAGTTTCGTCAACATTTAACGTCTTCAACGCTCGAGTGTTTGCCGCGCGAGAATCTCGAATATTCTTCATTTCCTTTTTGAATGTTTCTCTTTCATCTTCTGGAAGAGTTCCTCGTTAAATCAGAGACGAGGATATCACAGAAAAGTGTCCACAAAAACCGGGATACCGATAAATAGCGGATAGCAAGACGTTGTGCGGGCTGATAACGTTTTAACCTTTTGCTCTCCAGAGGCGCCTCTCGGTCGCCAATTGATTCGACACAGCAGAATTGTAAACTTTGATACTAAATATTCAACTTCCTATAATGCATTAATATGTGAAATACTGAAATGCAATAGTTTTCTTCCTGAATCTACGTGCGGTTTCTCGTCAAGTTAGTTTCAGAAAACGTCGTCTGTGTCTCGATAGGAACTGTTGAGTATTTTCAGTGAAACACTTCTGAAGTGCAAAGGGTTAAACGTGAAATTGAGTTTCTAGAATACCGTAGGACTATCGTGGAAATATCAGCAATCACTATTGAAATTATTTTATTCTATTTGACAGACAAACTTCGCTTGATATTAACGTTCCAAGAAGAATATTCCAATGCTTAGAAACGTGACATACATAGTAATTTGAAATGTCGTGTTATACTCGCCGCGAAAATCGGAATTCTTCCAGACAATCGGACCGTGTCTTTCACGAGATCCATCGGTGCGATGTGACGTCTTTAACAAATCCGAAGGAACCCCGAGACACAATGAAGAGAGGGTCTTCGAGACCGCGTGTCCGCTTCGATATCTCGCGGAAGCCGGCCATTAAATTTTAATATCAGACTTAACACGCTTCCATGGTGTACGATTGAATGTCTGATTAAAGAGTCACGAGTGAATTTTAACCGATGGTTCGTTGAAAAGGAATAAAGAGAAAGGAAAAATCGAGTCAAGTTTCACTTTGCAGAGTTCCCCCGATGGAAGTCCGGAACGCCGTCCCCCCACCCGTCCTTTCTCCTCTTTTCTTCCTTTCTCCTCTCGCGTTTCATCGATTCTAATAATGACACGCCAGATTCCCCGTAGCAGATATCGTAATTGCAAGTTCGAAACGTGCCCTGTCTCGATCTCGTCGCCACGCACTGGCGAATACGAATCGCTCATCCAGCCTCCAGCCGGCGCGGCCTCTCTTCCCTCTCCTTCTGGAAGAATAACATTCAAAAGAGACGTCAGAGGACCGACGATCGTCCCGATACACGCCGATTCTCTCCCCAAGCCCTCTCTTTTCTCTCTCTCTGAATAATATTACGGAACGCGGCAACAGTATGCGGGATCACGGACGTCTCTCGGCATGCATTAGCGGCAAATCGCTCGATTCGCGTCTGCCGCTACGGAAATCCCACTATGCTTCTGGCGGATCGCTGTTTCCATCTCTGCTAGTAGGTAAATTTGGAATTTAACGCTGGAACTAGCGAGTATTTGGGTATTAAAACTATCTGAAGGATATTGGGAATAACTTGGAGCATTGAAGTAAAAGTACAATTGTATTTTAATGCTGTAACTATCGTATAGTTAACATTAGAACTACCTGAAGTGTGTTAAAAGTAACTTGGAGTGTTAATGTAATACTAACATTGATCTTCAAAGTTGGAACTATTGAATAATTAACATTAGAAATACCCGAAGTGTATTAAAATTAACTTGGAATATTAGAAAACTGAAGAATTACAGCCCATCTAGTACATTTAAAGTAACCAGAGCATTTGAAATAATTTTTCAGTAACTCGTTAGAGAAATTGTAAGCATAGATACACTCTTCAATTTCTGCACATGATAGGATCGAAGACAATGTCGAATATGGATTCTGTTATCAAAAACGCCGATTATAGATTTTATCTAAAGCGATTCGCGGATAGATAAATGAATTTATCGACAATAAACGAAGCGTTCAATGAAAGAATCATTCTCATATCAATATCTGTCGACTATTTGCTCGGACGTCGGTTCCTCGCGGCAGAAACGATCGTTGGTCCGTCGCGTCGGTACACGATGCTTCTCGGAAATGTTTTTTCGAAATCCGGCCACTTCGTTATCGCTTTTCTCCCAGTGATCTTCCACGCGTTCTCTCTTTCTCCTCCCGTGTGTACATTTTTCGCTTGTCTCTCGCTTCCTCTTTCTACATTTTCCTCCGGTTGGCAATATTTTTTCGCGAAAAACACGAGCGACACTCGACTAGGATCCCGTCGCATTTTCCGATGCATAAGCGGATCCTCCTTCCCCTCGGGGGAGCGCGTTTTTCCGCGCGTGCCATCGAAATTCGATGAAAACGCCCGGCGCGCGCGTTTTTCACGGTTTTTCCCTGGCGAAGCCGGTTTCGCGGCTCGCTGATCCAAGTCATTCGCCGTCTTTCTCTGTTTTTCGAACGCTGGAACGATTTTCAATTCGCCGACGCATTAGACCTCATGACAAATTCCTTTCTCCCGCTGTTTTCCATCGACGCAAACAATTTGAAAGGAGACCCAGGGTGAATTATTTAACAGAGACCTTGGACGAAATTCTATGCGGAGAAGTGATAGATTAATTTTGGAAATTAGTCGATAAAGTGGAAGAAATGTTCATCGATGAAATCTAATATAAAGAAGAATAAGAAAGTGACCTTAACTCACAATTTTTAACAATCAGTTTGGCTATAGCAAAATTTATGCAGTATGAAATTAATAAATATCAACCTACGAATACAAATTAACAGTGTATTCCATAGCCTTAATAATCTTATTAAAACGAATATATTTTGTAACTTCGAAGTTACAATGACGTTGAACGTTTACGCCGTATAAAAGTTTAAGCTGATTAATTACTTAATCTCGTTCACCGTTTTGCGGCAGAAAATTGAATACGTTAATTTATCCCAGCATATTGACGTGTGACTTCAAAGTGACACAGGCCTATAGAGGGTTAACAAGAAAATCGTTATCAATGCATTCATCAATGAAGCTAAAAAGAGAATAACGAAACTGCGCTGAGAGTAAACAAAAATCGCTCCAATTTTAATTGCAAGTTCATCATACGTGAATGGCTCGAACGATACACTGTCCTTCCCCATGTCGGAGGAGTAGCTCTCGCAGGATCGCGATCGATCATCTCGGGGAATCTCGTCCCGCATTGTCGACGGAGGCAAGAGCGGCGTGGCGGCGGCTCGTAAACACCCATAGAACATTAATGGTGCTGAAAGTTATCCGGTGGCCCGATCTGTAAACCGTCCTCGCCCCTCGATTCGTCCACGCCAGGACGAGCAGCCGCCCCATAATTTACTCGTTAGTTTTTCGTGGCCCCTGCTGGACTCCTATTCAACCTCTCTCTCTTCCCTCTCTTTCTCTCGCTCCCTGTCCCCGTCTCTCTGCCTATTCTTCCTTCGTCTCCCTTCTCTGTCTTCCTTTAGAAACGAGATCACTGTCCTCCTTCCTCCCACGGTCTCGATTTCAATTCCGTGGCTTGTTTACCGTTCCTCCCCGTGGCAGGACTACCACTACCCAGTCCCCATTATCTCGATCCGGCTCGCCGATACGTGTAATTCGCGTGGCTCGCGTGCACGCACCGCAACAGAGGAATCGAGCGATCGCGGGCGTGGCAGGATCTTCTTTCTCTCTTCCTTTCGCAGAACGTCGCAGGATACAATGGTACAATGTGACAGGTCCTTCGGAACGGGAGCCACGCGGTAAATTCGGGATTCCGTACGGTTTTTATTGTCGACGTAAACTGAATCGCTTGTTAGGGTCTTCACGAGGAAGCTTGTTGGGTGTCGTGAACGCAGAAATTGGATGTAGTTTTGAATGGAAAATTGAGAAGAGACGTTTTTAGGATTGCAGTATCGCCTTAAAAGTGCAGTATCATCTTGGGAAATTAGGATATCATGTTAGGACCTACAGTGTTATTTCGAGAGCAGTGACGCCTTGAGAATTATAGTTGTTATCTTGGGAACTATGGGACTGTATTGGGTACTACAGTATCCCCTTAGAAACTATAGCACTGTTTTGAGAATTAGAGCACCACCTTAGAGACTATGGCATAGTCCTGAGAATTACCTTACCACCTATGAAACTATAGTAGTATCGTCTTACTAAGTCAAGAGTATTATAGTACTTATCCTCTAAAGTGCTACATATCACCTAGAGAACTATATCATAACCCAAAGAACTACATCTACTTCAAAACCATATTGAGCAACCAAAAAATAGTAGTCCGCTCACTTCAGCAACCACATTTCCCAACCACCCCAAAACGCGATAACCGCAGCCACAGCCAAATTTCTCCCGCCATTCCTCCGGCCGCCTTTAACAGTTTAGCGGTAATTAATCGTCCGCCGAGCGCGAAATCCCGAACGACCGAGCGACGGCGCAGCCGACCGCGTCGT